GAACCCCGTAGCACGTGGCGCGAAGCCCCAAGTTCATCAGGCATGTAGCATAGCACGAAGGACCACGTTAACCAAGGACATAAGGAGAGAGAAAAAAAAGAGAAAAAAGAGAGAGAGAGAGAGAGAGAGAGAGAGAGAGAGAGAGAGAGAGAGAGAGAGAGAGAGAGAGAGAGATGGAGACGAACTGAGAGGAGAGAGAGCCCCAATTTAGATTGCCAGCACCAATTCACCGTTGCACGAAGTTCGCAAAGCATGGAGCACATGGCATGAAGCACCGAGTTCAGGAAGTACATAGCGTGTAGCATGAAGCACCGAGTTCACTAAGCATGTAAGGAGAGACAGGAAAGAGAAAAGAAATAGGAGAGAGAGCTCCAATTTATGTCTCCAAGTTCATGAAGCACGTAGCACGAAGCACATAAGAGGAGAGAGAGAGAGAGAGAGAGAGAGAGAGCACTAGGGTAGGTCTCCTAGCCCATGTAACACAGGTCGCGTCGTAGGTCCAAAATATACCTTACAAGGATGTTTCTTGTTTTATCCTACAAATAGATATATATGTCGTTGGCTTTGCATAGCGCACTCTTTTAGTTCATGGATATGTGACAAGTCGGTGAAAATGTGACGAAACAGTTTGTCACAACCCCTCGTGTGTTGTCCTCTTCTCCCTGTCTGCCCACGGTTTACCTGGCAGCTCTGTTTGACGATACCTTGAGGGCAGTGGTTGGTGCCCACCTCAAGGTATCAGTTGTCGGGCAGTCGTTGATGCTTAACCAGAACGGGGCTTAAGGTGGATAATCACTTAGTGTAATTTGTAGTACGGAAATGAACTCCGGTGAATTCAAGGATCATCACAGATTCATCAGTGTAATGAACGGTGCCGCAGAGCTGGAGCAAAGGAGAGATGAGGACAGGGAGAAAGAATGATTAGAGTGCCACTGGGTCCAATCACCAGACTTGACCCTTCGGTGAAACTCTGACGAAACAGTTTGTCATAGCCCATAGCCCCTCGTTTGTTGTCCTCTTCTTCCTCTCTGCCTACGGTTTACCAGGCAGCTCTGTTTGACGATATATATATATATATATTACCGGGCAGTTCTATTTGACGATATATATATATATGTATATATATATATATAAAGTGCAATCAGACTCGACTTATTCACACTTTTCATGCACGTGAACAGCAGCACACAACTGGCGCCTTGCGCCCACACAGTACACAGAGATATGTCTTCCAGGTAAGTTCGCTTCCACTGGCTATGGCGACTGTGCGCCTCAAACACTCACTGTTCACACTCTGGATCACCCTGGATGTCCCACACGCGATACCCAGTACACACACGCAGTACACACACTCTTCCCCTAAGCTACAGCTATGGCGGCTATGGCCGCTGCTACCCTATTGCTATGGCTACAGTATGTCACTCTCGCCCTCCTCGTCTTCGGGCCTTCTGCAGACCTCCTCGCACAAGCTGCTGAGGCAGCGCTTCCGCATGGCTTCCGCAGGAATGAATAATGGCTGGACGCAGCCTCTTGATTTATACTTCTGCGCTGCGTTGGTCTGCCCTGTGTCCCTTGGCCCCTGATGCACACAGTCCCAGATGGTACTTGCTGGACAGGACCGGACTGCCTAACTGGGACTGTTGACTCAGCGAGGTGGCCTACCGCCACTTGACCACTTGCCTCTGTTCAACGTAGGCTCACGCTGGACCCGTTTTCCCGCAGGTGATGCTCCCCACCAATAGATGGAGCCTACCCCCTGGTGCTAGTGGTGGCTGCTCTTATCAGCATCGCTAGCACTCTGTTTAAAAAAAAAAAAAAAAAAAAAAGGCTCACTCCGAAAGGCCACTTCTAGAAACCTCTAACTTGGCCTTTCGGTACTGTAGCAGCTACGACTTTGCCCCTTCAGGTAAGTAGCAGCTACGACCTTTACCCTTCAGACATCCTACAACTACGACTTCGGAACTGTCTAGACTCCTACCCTACAGGTCTACAGTTCGATTCCCTTCTACCCTGTGACCTAGGAAAACCTACCTACCACTGGCGGTCCTACAGGTCGCAGGTTCAAATCTACGGGTTGACACTGGTACTGTACACAGGTAAGACGGGGAACTAGGGATCGAGCCCTGGGATCTGCATTCGCTACTGCGCACTGGTGAATACTGTTTCAAAAGTATTATAAAGTAATATAAACAAATATTATATAATCCTACCCCTTAAGCGCGGTGGGCCCGCGGGGGGAGGTCGTGTTCCGCTGCGCGCCGGAATCGGGCCGAACTTTTGACTCGGCCCGGCGGATGAAGGCGATCGAGGGCGGGGGTGCGTGCAGAGCGGTGCGCGTACCCAATTGTTAACAACGCGCCGGCAAACGAGAGAGCGCGCCCACAGGGGCCGAGAGGCGGCAGGCGTCGATTCGAGTGAATATCTCGAAGGGTCCGCCGTCGGATTGCAGGAAAAAGAGAAAAAGAGAAATAAAAAAGAAAAAAATGTTTAACATTTGAAAAGAAAAGAAAAAAGAAAAAGAAAAAGATTTGAAAAAAGAAAAGAAAAGAAAAAAACAAAAAAGAGAAAAAAAAAAAGACAAAGAAGAGTAAAAGAGAAATGTGGCGTCCGTCGGAACAAAGGGCCTCGCCACACCACTCTCAAAATGTGGAAAAGACAAAAATGTGGCG